AAATAGAGATTTTCATGTTTAATTCAGAAAATATATATATATATATACAAAGCTGATCACATTCAAGTGTTTAGTCTACTAGAATCTTTCTTTTTTAATCTATATAACAGAATAATCTATTTGTCTAACATAATCTTACAAACAGATGTATAATATGGTATATGATACATGATACATTAAAAACTACCCCTGCATGCACTAAAAGACAGAATTTTATTTATAGTAATACTTTCTGACAATGAGGGAACAAGAAGGAAATAAACATGTTTACATTATTTTAGTGCCTCTAAATCTGTAGATTAGCTTTTTTTATATCTAATATTTTTACTGCATTTTGCAAATCATACAAAATGAATTTTAAAGACAATGTACTACTTGGATTTCAGTTGTTTAATCCAACGTTTTATTACTTGGAATCAACACAAGGACTACATGTTGGAAGTCAACTGAAATATTCACATTGCAACTTAAATTACATTTCAAGAATATGTTTTTCATATAACACTCTCCATAATGTTTTATTTTGATTCATAAAGCTTGTGACTGTTGTGTTATCAGTAACTTATGACCTCATCATAATTGCATGGAAAAGAAAAAACCTGTACATTCCACAGCATTTAATTTTTTATCATAAATATTTGTACGTACTTATTGGAAATTGTAATCATTGGCTTAATCAGTTTATTAATGGTGTACTAGAACGGTGTAATTTCCTGTAACTTCCAACATTTTTAAACCAAAAGAATTATTGATAGCAGGTATATTTTCAATATTTTCATAATAAAATTACTTATCTATAGGAAATGATAGAGGTTAAATTGTAATATGGTTTGTTACTTCCAGCTATTCACACTGTATAATGTAAAGCAACTTTACACAATTACATATCACGTCTGTGCTTGTTGTGTGTTTTTGTTAAAATAAGTTCATGATCTCAATAAGCTGAATACACATCTTCAGGTGAAAAAAAAAACGTTGAGCTATTGAGGTTTTCTGTGGTAGCTGTGTGTTTTTGTTAAAATAAGACTTCATACTCTCAGTAAGCTGAATACATGTCTTCAAGTGAAAAAACAACAACACTGGAATATCGAGGTTTTCTGTGGTAGTATGTAAGCTTTTGTTAAAATAAATAGTTTATAATCTCAGTAAGGTGAATACATATGTTTAGGTGAAAAAAATGCTCAAATATTAAGGTTTTAATACTTTAGATGACATGATGTGAATTATGATTAGTGTCTTTCATGTTGATTTGTCTTTGAAATACAAATTACACATACTGTACTGTGCAGCTCTGTAAAAAATGCACTTAGTTTACGAGAAAATGTGTTGGTAGTCAGAGACCTGTTCCCATTATTATTACTTATCTTGAATTTGTTAATGGTGAGCTATATTTATATAAAAGCCACTTTCTGTTCAGAATGCTCCATTTGTAGGTAATGCCCGACTCTCTGTTGGTAACGTTCATCTTAGCTCGGTGGTTTATCTGAAGTGGAAGTCTCAAGTTCAAATCCCAGTCGAGTGGGGATTTTTATAGCTTTTTTAATTATTAACTTATCATGTTTAGAGCAAGATATTACAATATTAGGAAAAATCAGAATACCATGAGGTATTTGAATTATTTGTTAACATTCAATTACAAAGACTGGGTGTCACAGTGGTCAACTATCATGTGTAAGTATCACATTTAAATCCCAGTCAAGTGGGGATTTTATGTTAATTTTTTTATTATTGTATTTCTTTTTTATGTATTTATCATTACATTTATTATCTATTTGAATATTCAGAAAAAATATTAATACAATTATAGATTAAATATGGGATAATGTCATATTTCACAATATACACCAATGAATGCATGCATCAAAAACAACTTAAATATATTTTATCCCAACAGATGGCACTACATATTCAACATCAAATTCTTTACCATCACAATATATAAATTGCAAGGTCAGATATTTGACTATGATGGAATATTTCTTGAAGAACCAGTTTTTTTATATAGTTCAATGACTTCAATCTATAAGGCTTTATGAAGAAGCAGATCTGAACATAAAATAAAAATATACATAAGTAAAAATTCTAATCAAAGACCACTTACAGGAGATGACCAAATACACACAAACAATGTTTTGGTGAAATAATAGAAAAAAAATCATAAATATTCCTTATAGATATACTGTTCCTAAAATATAATTAATTTATTTAGATTTAATTTTTAAATGAAAAATTATCCAGCATTTACCATTATATGATAGGCTTTCAGCTAGTAATCCATAACTGTAGTAACTGATTAATCATTAGATACAAAGGTATTAGAGATTTATTGGCAAAAACTGAATTACTATTTATTTATTTAATTATCACCAATAAAGGAAAATAATTCACAGTATGACAATAAACATTATTTAGCTGAATAACATTAAGGAACTAAATACTAACCTATATACCTAGCATGAAATTTTAATTTTGAGCTCCCCAAGAAATTTTGGCCCCATGATGATTTTGATTCATAAAAAAATTTTTCGTGTCAAAGGAGAAGCCTAAAAGTATGTTAATACTAATTTTTCACTTGGAGAAAAAAGAAACAAACTATACACAAACACATGTGTGTTTGAAATAATAATTATCAATACATATCATTAACCCTAGCAATCAGGTGGGATCTTTTTGGATTTAACTCACTTGTCATCATATGGATTTTCATGTCCAAGAAGGATATTCTGGTAGAAAAATGTTTAAGTTAATATTTGAGTTATTAAACCTTTTCTCATATAGCTCTATCCTTGGTAGATTCTACATGTTAGTTATCAGACGATTTTACTCATTCACATGTTTTTCATATATTCTGTCAACATTGACAACCACAAACATAGCTTAAGATGAGTAACTAGTTTATGGTAAATCAAATAGTGACTTTTGTTTTTTCAGGATGTTACATCTTTACACAATCATAAAAACAGCAGTGAGTATTAAGTACCAGGAATGCACTAGTGCATAAAGTATGGGATTAAAATATCACTAATGTTACAATAAATTGTTAGAATTAAAAATAGGAGACTACTTTCAGAACATAAACCTTCTATTGGATTTCTCTGATTAGGATTCTATTTCCTTTCCAAAGACTATTAATAATGAATTTTGAATATCAATTAATAACGTTTGTTTGTTTTAGAATTTCGTGCAAAGCTACACGAGGGCTACCTGTGCTAGCCGTCCCTAATTTAGCACTGTAAGACTAGGGGGAAGGCAGCTAGTCATCACCAACCACCGCCAACTCTTGGGCTACTCTTTTACCAATGAATAGTGGGATTGACCTTCACATTATAATGCCCCCACGGCTGAAAGGGCGAGCATGTTTCGTGTGACGGGGATTCGAACACGTGGCCCGTAGATTGCGAGTCGAGCTCCCTAACCACCTGGCCATGTCGGGCCAATTAATAATGAATCTTCCCCATATGGTTGATAATAATAATAATATGAAACAAAGATACAGAAGAACATGTGGCATTATTAATCAGGTTTTCTTATGTATAGAACAAGTGAACATAAACACCTTAACATAGATGGTATCAAACTGTTTCTAAAACGGAATAATTTGTTTGTTTTGAAAAGTTAACGGTGAATGTTGTACCATAATGACTTATCTGACAAAGTTATTATAAAAAAGCATATTTTTTTTACAAATCAAAATTTAGATTTGAAAAAATTGTAACATGAAGATTAAGAATTAGGTTTTAGTCATTAAAGACAAGGTTGGCTTTAGGTATTTTGCTTCTCTAGGCAATATTTTAAAGTGCCATCCCTGGTGAAACCCTTGCACCAAATTCAACGGTAAACATATATATAACATAACATGAACAAGATGTTGCACTAATAAACTTTTACTTTAGTAGGCCTATCTGAGTCTTATTTAGAAGAACTTAATTTGCTTGTCTTTTCTTTTTAGCTGCAAAGATGTAAAGTACTTAGTAGAAGCTTGTTATATATTTGACTTGATTACCTTACAGTGTCTGTGCCCATGAACACAGTTTCCAGGTCAATAAGGGACACGGAGAATGTAAAGTGACTGTAAAATAGATATTCCTATCGAAAGTAAAATTAATATAAAAATTTTTGCTAATGTATGCAGTTGCCTAGTAACCTTGTCTGTGAACTTAAAAAGATAAACTCGTAAGATATTTTTAAACTATAGATTTAGAGATGGTGTAATCAAGATGGACATTTAATTAACACTGATCTTTGAAAATTTATAAGATATTAAGATATGCTTTGACAAATTAATATACTTTTACATACATATTACCACCATGATCCTCATTTTCACCTCTATTTACACACAAGTACAATTTAACATGGTTAAAATTGTACAATTTATGTCATCCTCCAAAACAGGGTCCAGCTCTTTGTCTTGGAATTAAACAAATTATGTTATTAAAACTTCCTTCAAATGATGTCTCTGAAGCTTAATATCTAAAAAACAAACTCATTTGTATATTTATATTTATTGTGATATTTATTTCAAATGATAATTACTTAAAATGACAAGATTGTTTTTTTTTATTGACATCATAGTTGAGACAAATTTACATTACACCTTATGATCACTTTCTTTGAATTAATAAAGTAAAAGACCTACTATCAATGATTTTTCACCTTTCTCAGCTGATGTCTAAGTACTATTTAGTTTGTATATATTATTATGACTGCTCTCATTCTTCTAAGAAAAAAAGTATATTAATGGCATACAAAATGAACTATAACAGTTTCTGTACATGCTATAATCCTTTAAAAAGTTTTCAATATAAATAAAGCATTAATTAGTGAAGGTTATGAGCACTGTTATGCCTATTAAATAATTAATTTTGTATTTCTACTTGATTTAATAGTTCAACTTGAGGAAATAACTTCTCCCAAACCTCCATGACACCAGATAAGTCATATTGACTGACCTGGTAGGATAAGGGTTAAATTAAGTTAGAATTCAATAAGCAGCTTACCTGAAGGGTACTATTTGAAGCTGTGACATTTGTTGTAGAGGGATGTGAGGATTTCTGTAAGAAGTAAAGTAAAGCTTAATTTAGAAACCCATGTCAATGCAAATACCAAAAAACATAAAACTATCACATACCTAATGTAAGCTACATAAATTTATGTATAGACTGAGGCATACTATATATCATTCTATCAAAACTAACCTTGAGTTGCAGACAAAATATTTTGTTTGTGAGGGAGACATTTTCTATGTGATTTTTAATCACTGTCCAACATGTTGGTCTATAGTTTTTGTAGTTTTGATATACAACACACTCACCCCCTTCACTTTATTCTAGTTTATAAATATGTAATTCATACTAAATTTTATCCATATTGAATAACATTTAGGTGTTGCTCAAGATAGTTGAAATTTTACCATGTGACTTACATTATATCTGCATATTCCCAATATTCTAGAATAATTCTGGAAGGTTCTATATTATTCTGTACTATTTTAGCATATTATTAGGGAATATTTTAGTAGCACATTCTGGCATATTGTCACATATCTTGGAATATTCCAGCATACTCCAAAATATTCAAAATGTTCAAGGACATTCTATATATATATATATATAAATAATCCAAGCTGCCACTTTTTACTTCTGGAATATTCTGTATGACAAGACAGTAGGTTCTAGAATTTTGTTTAAGGATATATATATATATATAAGCACTTAAGCAGATTCTTGTGTATTATTTTAGTGTACATTGTATATATTAGCATATCATTACAAATAGGTATCGCAACAAGAAGTAAGACTACACTTTGGCTGCTTGGTTCAGAAGAAACTGAACAAACAGGAAGCAAATTATCTTCAAATAGGCAAGTGCTGTGTGTGTTTTTCTACCTTAACAAAATATTAAAGAAGATAGTTTGTGAAAGCTCAGAGATTGTGACCAAGGAGGCTGCAGGTTTATGGAACAAGGCTCAAATTCCAATTTGTCCCGAACTTCATGCCATTATGAAACTGAAGAAGCTTTTTAAAAAATGGGTAAAGCTAAAGAAAAATTCAAAAAGGAAAACTGAAACACACAGAAGGAAGGCATGGATGAACCTCCAAAGTGCATCCAGCTGAACATCAGGAAGTCAGGGGACATTTCATCACAATGGACATCTTCAGGTACCTCAAAATTCCATCCAGATTTCTGGATTATGACCCCGAGTCATGGGAGCTCAGAGAGGTTATAGGGAGGTACTACAGACAGTTCAACACTTGAATGTAGTAATGTTGAAAGGGATGTGGCCCTTATTGAGGAGTATAATGCCATCATAACAAAAAGAGAAGAATAGAAACAATTCCTCCTTCAAGTTGTGCAGGAACACAGAAAATGCTTTCCTAACAACAAAAACTGAAACAATAACAATGTAAAAGTGACTAACGCCCATTAAAATAATATAAAAATCATATAATTATACCATTGTATATGTAATAAAATAATAATATGCTCTAAACAAATAATTTACAATGCATAACAAATACGTTTTTATATCACACAATACATACACTACTAGGCCATTGTAGTCTAGAACTTCAACGTCAATGAGCAACCTCTAAATATGGTCCAAAATGAATGAAGTTTGATATTTAAAGTTTTCTTGTACATTGAAACACATGCATTCAGTTTAAAAACGTTTTTAATTAGGTATCAAACCATGTATTATAGATAAGGTTTCAGTTTGAAATGTGTTATTAAATTGGAACATGTTTTACATGTATTACAAAAAAAATGTATTTCAAGCTAAATTCTTACTTAGGCACAGAATTTTGAATTAATTAATAATAACTTCAGGTGTTTTTAATTACAGAAAATGAAACTTTCATTTTAGCTCCTTTCACATCTTATTATAGTGCTCAAAACTTTAAATGCATTATGCATTGAAGCTGTGAATCTACTACAACTGTTTCAACATATAAAATTCCATATTTGCAACATATGTGGATCTAACATTAGCTGACATTACATTACAGCAACAAGTATCTTTTAATTTATAAAAGGATGGCATTACTTAATTTGCCAAGAGAAAACTAATTTCAAATGTTAATACATATAACAAGCAAATTACATCAACTATGTGTCACCTCAACTACACTGTACTACAGTATGAAATATCTTTTAATATAAAACATTTTGTACACTCATTAAACAGAACATTCTGACAAAGTTCTGTTGTAATTTGTCTAAGAGATCAATTTATTAAGTTTCTTTATTTTGTGCAGACAGTAGCTCGTCAGTGTTAATAATGTGAGTCAAATTATAAAAGAAACAAATAGGGAAAATGCCAGGCTACAATAAATAAATTATGTTAATTCTAAGAAAAGTGAAGTCAAGTGAACAACAACAGTAGTTAACAAGTTTAATTCAGGTTACTCAATATAAATGTTGATCATTTTGTAAGCGGAAGAGATAGAAATCAATGTTACCTTGTTACATGTTAAGCTGTAATATTTCTTAGATCAGGTAGTAAACTCTGGCTTTGATATTATGAGTACAAACATAAAATGAGCATGAACCCAAACCTCAAAGGGAAAGGTGAATCTAAGTACGTTAATGCAGGGTCAGTACCTGGGAGGTAGTGAGTGATGTTACTCCAATCCTTACCCTGCCACCACGTGCAGCACTAGAAGTAGAACTAGTAGAACTGTTGATAGACTCGTGACTTTCTGATCGATGGTGGAGTGGTAGACCAGGCCCCGAAGAACGGCGAGTGACTCGAGCTGTACTAGAGCCCTTCCCTGCTTTGGCTACCTTGTGGATAGGTGCAAACAATCCATGTTTCATCTTACATTCAAAGTATCTTTGGGAGAAAAGAAAAACACTTGAGGAAAAAGTCTAGAAGCTAATATCAGTATATAATTTGTTTTAAACAGTCAGTAAATAAAGTTTTTCTTATTTAAATTTACAAAATTGTCAATTGGGACCAATTACTACCACATTATTAAGTTTCAGGTGCTGTGCAACAAATAATAACCACTAATTTCATCGAGTTAAAAAGTCAGTGTGAGCTTCATTCAAATTTTATTAAACTTGGGTGTATTCTGACTGAAGAGAAACCTCAATTAAGGTAAGAGATAGGAAGGATATGTTGTAAAATTAAAAAAACTAGATGGAAAGACTTAGCCTACCGATTTTCTGTACAAGTGAATTATTTGCTTTAACAAAAGGGAAACTAAACCTGGCTGATGTTGGCAAATTTATCTAGAGTATTTTATATCATATTATAGTACTGTTCAAATTTGGATTATTTAAATCATATTTTATTCAACTATGATACAGATCTACAATCTGTTATTGCCAGGTTACAAATATATCATGTATTACATGTTGATAATTTTCACACTTATTAGTCCACACAAGAAACATTAACCTGAAAAAACAGTTTTAAATTTTCTAGCCTAAAGCAGAACAAATCTGCAAGTCTATTAAATTCTAGTATCTATACCAGGTGCACAATGAATGTCTTATTTCAATTTGCATTTGAAGATTTTATATAATTAGGTTCTGTACTTAATAAATTCAACTGATTACATGTAAGTAGTAAAAGTAGGCCAGTTCATTCTATTTTGACTAAGAAAAAACACAGTTATAAACCCTTTACTGTTAAGCCCTCTTGTTTTAAAGTACATAAAAACTAGGTTATTAAAAAAATAGCATCAAGGAATTAGAAGCACTCCACATATGCTTAAAAATCTTGCATGTACATGATGTGTGAATGTTTACCATATGTCATTAAAATGTTTAAATTCCAATTTTTTTTAAGTTAATAAGATTGAATCAGATAAACTAATATTTCTTCACTGTACTCCAAAAAATAAAAAATGATATGAAAAGCTATAAATCTATGAAATCATTTTCACCGAGCAAACAAAAACGTATTTATTGTTTTTCCCCTTTTACTTAAGGAAAGTATATCTGACTGTTATTTATAGAAAAACATAATTATTAAATATGAAATATTCCACACAATTATATTCATTTCACAAAGATGGACATTTAAAACTGTGGTTAAAAATGAACAATTAAACTAATGGTTACATATTAATATTCTCTCAGTAATGTAGGATAATTTGTAACAAATTATTTATACTAAAAAATTCTATTTATGTAGACACCTTTTTCCAGCAACTGAGCCATCATTTTTTCCTTGAGGTTCATCCAGGTCAATTCCTGCCCACTGCCCTGGAGCAAACTCAGTGTTTCCAAGATAACACAGGGTGCCTGTCTTAACACCATCAGTAGTATTAACCAAAACCCGATCTCCAACTTTAACTAGACCTTCATCAGAAGCAGCATTATTGGTGACACCACAAGGTGTCATCCCTTCTTTTGCACTTCCTGGTGTCAGTGAACTTAGCAGTCTTGTTGTTGAGCCCATCATCTTTCCTTCCAAGGTCTTATCTGAATTTGTTTGCAAAGTGCCATTAGTAGGAGTGTTGGTAGAACTAATGGGAACACGTGAAAGTTTGTGAGGACGGGCAAAAACACCCTTGTTGGACTCACACTGAAAGTAACGAACTCCTCCAACAGATCCATCATTTTTTCCAAGAGGTTCATCTAAAACCACTCCAGCCCACTGCCCTGGTGCAAATTGAGTCCCTCCAAGAAACTGGATGCAACCATGTTTCGTACCATTCACCCACACTTTGTCTCCAACTTTGTAATTTTCACTACTCTGAGCCAGGGCATCAGTAGCATCTGCTGAATAAATTTTTTTAAAAGAAATTAATCAATCGATTTCAAAATACCTACACAGCAACAGAAGATGATACACATTACCAAAGAAAAGTTGCTTAAAATATAATACCAATTTCAAACTTTTCCAAAATTTAAAAATGGTTGCTTTGTTTACTTTGCAATCTTTAAAAAATTTAAGGCAGTCAATGGTTAAATTTCTGAAGTATAAATAATTTTTAAATCTTACTGATTTTACAAGTAAACTATAATTGGTTATTGTAAGATTTTAATAAACAAATTGCCATTTACTGCATTTTAGTTTTCAATTAAAAGGTGCACATTGTAATCACTTATCACAAAAACATTTATGGCTTCTAAATTGGCTGTTTTAACTATTCACTACTAGTACTTAGTGAATCTGCCCTTGGAAATACTTATTGCAGAAACATGGCTATGCTTTGTATTGCAAAATCTAAAACCTAGCCATGTGGGACTGCTCCCCACTTCTGGCAAAGAACTTAGATGAAGATGTCCTTAGAAGTTTGCAATTTTGGGATGTTTTGCAGAGAGTGAGCAAGAATGGGCCACAAATTTTGGTACGAATTCATATCTGTATCTAGCATTGCTAGGAGAGAGTGCTATAATGCCCTGACCTATGAGCCATTATTTTGACTTAGGCTGGATAAGCAGGAGCCCTATCTTGCATAAAAACACTGTCTTTCTGGTAACCTAGTCGCTAGCATAGAGAAATAGAAGACTTTACTCAAGAAAAATGATTTACTGAACAGCAGAAACCAGCCCTGTACATACCACCAGTTGCAACTGTCTAGTTGCCAAAATGGCATCCCACACCATAACAAAAATACTGCCTCATTTTGTCGTGGCTTGCACATGGTTCAACAGAAATTCCTGGTAGGATAGTCACCAAATCCAGTTAGTATGTCCAATGAATGAGAATTGTGAAAATATGGGCTTGATAAAAAATTCTGTCCCAAAAGACAGGACATACTGTTATAGTATATTGTTACGTATCTGC